AGGCCCGACGATCAATGGAGATGGGGGAGGAATGGGGAGGTATGGGGAGGTATGGGGAGGTATGGGGAGAATAGAAGCTCCTCGAGCAGGCCGAGATATGGGGAGATATGGGGAGATGGGGGAGATATGGGGAGATATGGGGAGATATGGGGAGATATGGGGAGATATGGGAAGATAGATGCGTTCCTTCTCGTCCAGCTGCGCCCGCAGCGCCTCCACCGTCAGCAGCCTGCGCGCTGAATACGCCAACCTCAGGGCGGGAAGACGGTGTTGTGCAGTGTCTTCAGAGCACCGCGTGAGTACGAGGGGTGCGAAGACAGTGAACCAGCCTCGGGGCGGGAAGGCGGTGGTGTGCGGTGTACTCAGAGCACCGCGTGAGTACGAGGGATAGGAGAACGCAGTGAGTACAACGGAGTGCGGCTGCACTACAGCCACTTTTGAACGCGTCTCCTCCCCACATGCCGGCTGGGGTACATGCACCCGTCGTCTGCTTCTAGGGTCCGATGCAGGGAGTCGAGCTTCTCGTCCGGCACCTGCTCACAGCTAGAGGTGTGAAGAGACGCTGTTCACGGCTAGCTTGGCCACCAGGTCGGGCCGCATGTGCACGCCTGTTCACAGCTAGAGGTGTGAAGAGACGCTGTTCACGGCTAGCTTGGCCACCAGGTCGGGCCGCATGTGCACGCCTGTTCACAGCTAGAGGTGTGAAGAGACGCTGTTCACAGCCCCGCCGTCGCCTCGAGCCGCCGCAGCACCAGCTCGCGGCTCAGCGTGCGCGCCGCTCCCGCCGGCGCCTCGAGGCTGGTTGTTACGCCCGCCTGGAGATATGGGGAGATATGGGGAGATATGGGGAGAGATGGGGAGAGATGGGGAGAGATGGGGAGATCACGCCCGCCTGCGTCACCCTCACACGCCGAGATATGGGGAGAGATGGGGAGAGATATGGGGAGAGATATGGGGAGAGATGGGGAGAGATGGGGAGATATGGGGAGATATGGGGAGATCACGCCCGCCTGCGTCACCCTCACACGCCGAGGGCCGTCCTTCGCCTGCAGGTGAATGCGCCAACCTCAGGGCGGACAGACGGCCTCGTGGAGATATGGGGAGATATGGGGAGATATGGGGAGATATGGGGAGACAGACGGCCTCGGTGCCGTGCCCTATTACACTTTATATCAACTGTTATTTGTCAGGAGAGGTGCGCTTGTGATGTGCAGGGCGTGAATGCGGATCTCATCACGATCATGGCGGCGCTGGTGAAGTCGGGCAGCTGCTCGAAGGCCACGGAGCACCGCGCGAGTACACGAGAGATGGGGAGAGATGGGGAGAGGTGGGGAGAGATGGGGAGAGATGGGGAGAGATGGGGAGAGATGGGGAGAGATGGGGAGAGATGGGGAGAGATGGGGAGAGATGGGGAGAGATGGGGAGATCGTGCCGTGATAGCCACCGTGTCCTGTGAGCTGTGACCTGTCCGTCCAGCAGTCCGGACGCAGTGACACGGCCGGTGGCAGTGTGCCTCGTGTCGGCTCCCGCGCCAATCGTGCGCAGCGAGTGTGTGCCGTGTGATTGTCTTCACCGTGTAATCACCAGTCTGAGTCCTCTCGAGTGCTAGTCGGAAGACGGGCTGGCCTCGGAAGACGGCGCTGTCGACGCGAGGGCGAAGGAGAGGGAGGCAGCGCCGCCGCCGCCACCACCGCCGCCTCCTCCCTCAGGGGCGTCGCCGACGCGCACAATCCGCGGCGCGCCGCCGCCGCCGCCGCCGCCGGCGGCTCCTCTGGTGGGTGTTCCGCCCGCCGCTTTGGGCGGCAGCGGCGCGCGGACGAGGAGAGCGGCGTCGGAGGAGAGCGGCTCGACGAGGGCCAGCAGGTGCTGGATCTTCCGCCGGTCCTCCGCTTCTTGTATGCGGAGGCCGTCGTTCTCCGCCTGCAGCCGTGCGGCCGTGTCGCGCGCCTCCCATACAAAGACGTGCGAGTCGGAGAGCGCGCGCTGCAGCTCGGCCACCTCGTCGGTCCGCCTCAGCAGGTCGCGCCGGCTCTGCTGTGCCGCCTCCACGTGCCTTTCCACCTCCTCGAGCCGGCCCTGCAGCGAGACCATGTCCTTCTCGGCGGCGGCGACGCGCGACTGATAGTAGGCAAGCAGATCGCGCGAGAGAGGCAGCTGAGCGGCGGCGGCGTTGATGAGGGGCGCCTTGGCGTGAGCGGTGGGAGCGGCCGAAGTAGCGGCGGCAGCGGCCATCGCCGTGTATGTAATATATGGCAGTTGGCCCCAGGAAAAGAATTTATCGAGCCGCCTCCGTTTCGTTCACGTGTGTCCGAGCGCCTCTTTCACAAGAGACTCGCTCTGCAGGCACCGATGGTCCCCCAGGGGGGCTCAGTTGAAGATCGGTGGAATTTATGATGCGTTGTGCCCCGTTCGTGCCGCGTCCCGTGCCCCCGAGTTCATTTTATAAGCTTAGCCCCTCTCACAGCAGACTGGCTCGGACTGTTTTACACAAAACTCCCTCGCACAACACTGGGCACAGGACTGGGCACGGGACTGGCGCGCACTGGCACTAACACAGGTACACCACTGGAGCCGCCTAAGCGACTCCCGCGAGAGTGGCGAGGCACTTAGCTCCGTGCACTCGACCGCCCTCGCCGCTGGCAAGCTCATTCACAACCTGCTCTGCGATTGCCGTGTGAAGAACGACTGAGATGCGCTGCTTCTGCAGCCCCAGCCAGCTCTTTGTGGTCCAAGTCACCTCATCGAGGTACTGGGCCCGCGTCAGCTTGTTCTGCAGCACGTTCGCCGCCCCCCAGAGGATCTCGCCGACCCCCTTCCCAAACCCACCGAACGACTCGAACAGCAGCAGCCGCACGTCGACGTCCTTGTCCTCCCTGGCGTAGCGATACTCGCCGCCATAGGACGGTATGCGGCGATCGCCGCCCACCAGCCTGCCCCCCCTGGTATGCCAGCGCCCAGTCCCTTGCCCCCTCTCGCCCTTGCTCTTCCTCTCTCCCTCCATTCCCTCGCCCCCATACCCCTCACACTCCCCTCCATCCCCCTCCCCCTCCCCCTGCATCCCCCTCCCCCTGCGCGGGATAGGGCCCATGCCCTTCGACCATGTTCCGGGTAGAACGCCTCGGTGTTGCCGAGGGCGACAAAAGCGCCCTTCCGACCATCGATGCTCCCCGCCGCTGGTGAGGGGGCAGACAACCTTGACATCGCCTGAAAAGCGCTTGCCGCCCCTGCCAATGTTGCACGCGTCCACGTCGGGTTGTTTGTTGTAACTCTGACCGAGGTGGCCTTTCGGCTCCATTCGCACAGCGGTGCCCCACGCGGCGCGTAGGGCGAGGATGAGGCGCTGAAGTACACACTTGTGTCTGGTGTTGTGGCTCTGCTGCGGCACGTTGTCCTCTCCGGAATGTGCACTACATTGCCTGGGGATGGGGTGGCAGGGGCCTGTCGGGGCGTGGTGGCTGGTTGCAGTGTGTATGAGTTGTGGGCGTAGGTCGCCGGCTTTCGCCAGCCTTTGCAGGCATCCTAAGTTCGGCGGCTCAGCCTCCTCTGCGCCAGGGATCGCGCGGGGCGCAGCACGCCCTGTGTCGTCTGCGCGAGATCCTAGTCCCTGGTTCACCGAGGCGCCCCCTACAGGGAGTCAGCTCAGCCGCGTTCCTTGTAGTGTGATGCCTTTAAGTCTTTTAGGTACTCGATGTGCTGGCTTGTGCTGCCTTGACAAACTTGACCTCTCGTGTGTGAGCCGTCGCCTCTTCTGTGGTGAGGTGGTCGAGTCCCACTCTCCTTAGTTCGTCATTCACTCGCCTGCTCAGTCGTAGTCTGCCGTAATAGTCACTCGTCCCCATGGGTTCCACTTTGTTGCTGATTTCTTTCATGGTCGAGTCTCTGACTCGGTCGCTCTTGCGTTGTATTCGTCGGAGCCTAGTTCTGGCCTCTCCCGAGTAAGCTTGCATGTTTCTCACTAATAGGTTCAGGACCGCCTTCCAGGTTTGTTCGGGTTTGATTTCTTCCTCCTCATAGAAGGAGACGATTATCTGATTCCACATGTACATGTACATGTGTAGGTGAAGTGCGTTGTGGACCTCAGGCGTGTCCTCCGAGGTTCCGATGATGGTGAGTAATCTCGGCGGTTGTATGCTTAGTGACTCTCCTTGCGCAAAGACGGCCCGGACGACCGGGCATATGTCGAGGTGTCGCAACGTTTCGGAGGTTTTGTGACAAAGCCTGCATCTCGTGTGTGTTGTGGTGTCTAGTCCGTACTCCTTGAGCTGCCTCCGGAGGACCAGCTTCCTGTGGAGGATATGTCTGCAGTAGTTGTCGGTGATTGTGGGCGGAACTAGCGAGTGCAGCATCGTCGCCACGATTCCTGCGTATTGTGGGCCGCGATACTTGGGTGACGAGACGACCGCGACGGGCGTGGGCTTGTCCCTCGCCGGCATCATAGCTCGCGTCTTGGTGGTCGGATCGACGTCGTGAGCGGCAGCAATATCGGCGTCGGTCGGTTGCTTTCGTTCCGAGAGTCGTGCCGCAACAGACATAGGCGGACAGCGAAGGGACAGCACAATGGCGATTGAGGCCGCGCGCCGCGGCCACGGTCGAAAATGAGCAGCCCCTCCCACCCCGCCGCCCCGCCCCGCCCCGCCGCCCGCCCGCCCCCGCCCGCCCGCCCCGTGATGGTCCTGACTCGCGCCAGAAAAACGGTATGGAGTGCTCTCTACTGCCGCGGCGCCCCTGTCGGTTCGGAGGCGCCCGGCGGCCGCGCGCTCGGACGGTGCCGACGTCGACCGGCTGCTCTCGCGGCGCCGAGACGTGTCGCTTTGGTCAAATCTCGCGCTGCGAGGTGTCTTTTGGCATGTGAGCGCTTGGCAAAGACGCCAGGATGCTTGGCTTCCACGACTGCGGCCGCGGGCGAGCGGGCGGGCTCGCCAGGCTTCCATCCCGATCACTCGACCGGCCACGGCTGTGCGCTCTCACACCGGCTGAGAGAGCACGCGCCTTTGGCGGTGTCCACCACAGCTCCAGCCAGGACAAGCGGGAGGAGAGGAATGGCCACGAGCCGCACGAGCCGCACGAGCCGCACGTGGCACCGGCCCGGCCGTGCGAGAGGCACCATCTGCGCAGGTCCCACGGCTCGAGGCCCCACAGGCTCGTCCCTGCGCGCAGCCCCAGCACGCCGCGCAGCCCGCCGCAGGCCGCGCCAGAAGGCTTCGAAGGCGGCCACTCCTCCTCCATGCTCAGGGCGGCCTCGTCCGCGACGTGGCTCCCCGCCGCGCCGCTCTCCGACGCCTCCCTCTCGCCTGTCTATGTTTGGTTGCTGTTGTTTGACTCTTGGCACCGCGGGTGCGGGGGGGGGGGGCGGCAGGGGGAACGTTGCCTTGACCCTTGAGTTATGTGTAGTCACCCAGTTGGCCGGATGCTCGGGATCGGGTTACGGGCTAGGGAGCCCTAGCCCCGGGGGTGCGCGGTCGCAGGGCCATAACACGTCTCCGAGGGTTGGACCCGCGTACCAGGTTTCCGCTTAACTGCAGGACGCCCCCTCTTCCTTGACCGTGGGGGGGTGCGCGGTCGCAGGGCCATAAGTGAGCACTGTGAGCTTGTTATCACCCAAACGCGGCCAAAGGATATCCACCTCGAGACCTCGAGATTTGAAAATCGGCGCCGAAAAACGGCGACCGCGGGGTGTTCAAAGTCCTCGGCCCGCGGCCTCTCGAGTCTGTGGGAGTGGACGCTCGCGCCGGGCGGACCGTCGTCGCGAGTAGGCATGAGGGCCTGGTGGCTCCTCGCCTTCGCTCGCTTCGCCGGTGCCGCGCCTGACCTCCTCTTCCACGCGCCGGACGGCCGCGTCCCGACCTTCGCGCCGCGGCCGCCGGTGCCCAACCCAGTCGACGACCCGGACTGGCTCGTCGCCGCGTCGGGCTTCTGCTCCGACTTTTCCTTTGCGCCTGACGGCAGCATCGACTTCAAGTTCCACCCCGAGGTGTCGGTCGCCTTCACCGACGCCCCGTTCCACCAGGCCGCCTCGCTCGAGGACGGCATCGAGATCCGCGGCGAGGAGTACAGCCAGACCGACGTGCTCGCCGCGGGCACATGGACCAACAAGAACATCGCGCTCCTCGAGCCGACCTCATCCTGCGACGACCCGCCCGCCGGGTCGCAGGACGAGTGGGCCATCAGCGTCTTCAAGGTGAGCGCCAGCGACAAGTGTGGCGAGGAGTGCGTGCACTTCTCCGGCCTCGTCTCGGGCGCGTCGGACAACTTTGTGGCGCGCAAGGAGGGCCGGTTCCTCTGCCAGCTCTTCGTCGAGTCGCACACCTTCTCCGACCAGGCGCGGCGCAGCCTCCGGCGGCGCCTGGCGCCAACGCCTCTGATGACAAACATGCACGTGCAGCCGACGGCGCGTCAGCCAGCCTTCGCTCCCGTCCCTGACATCGACCTCACGGCGTCGTGGCTGGTCGCCACCGCCGGCATCTGCTCCGACCTCTCCGTTACGCCCAAGTCGGAAACGGTCGCCGCCGAGTCCGACGCCGACCAGTCGGGCACCTTTGTTGCGGACATTACCTTCAAGTTCCACCCGTCAACCTCGGTCGCCTACACCAAGTCGCCAGACCACGGCGCCGTTGAGATCGGAGAAGACGGTGTTGTCGTCCGCGACAAGGCGTACAGCGCCGTGGAAGTGCTCTCGGCCGCCGCTTGGGACCTCAAGAACATCGCGCTCCTCGAGCCGACCTCCTCGTGCGACGACCCGCCCGCCGGGTCGCAGGACGAGTGGGCCGTCAGCGTCTTCAAGGTGAGCGCGAGTGACAAGTGCGGCGCCGAGTGCGTGCTGTACTCGGGCCGCGTCTCTGCCTCCTCGTCGAGCCTGGACGTCTCGGTGCAGAAGAATGGGCGCTTCCCGTGCCAGCTCTACGTCGACTCCAACGGCGACGACAACAAGTGGGCCGCGCCGCCACGTCCTGCTCCGCCGCCACCTCCGCTCCTCAACTTCAAAGCCGGCGACGTCGACCCGGTCACCGGTCTCGTTGCGTGGAACAAGCTCGCCGGCCAGGAATTGACGTGCGGCACGGAACAATCCTGCCCGGATGGGACCGTGATGTCTTTCGAAGTCTACCCGGAGAAGAAGCTCCCCCTCGCTCGCGGCTCGTACTGGGACTACTTCTCGATCCTCACGTACCCCGACAATGGCGGCGCTGGTCCGACAAAGGAATGCCCGACCGGCTTCAGAGACGTGCACGATGCGGCCGAGTGCGAGAGCCTCGCTCGCTCGACTGGTGAATTCTCTCTCGCCCCCTCACTATTCCCGTCACGCGCGTCATATGACCTGTCATTATGTATAGGCCTTGAGTGGGTCAGCACGCTGAGCAACGACGCCAACTGGATTCACGGCTGCTTCGAGTGGTACTCTGGGACCGCTTGGCAGGCTCAGTGGTCGAGCAAGAGGGTGTATTGGAATGACCGGCTCGAATGGTCTGATTGTGCCACGGAGGGTGGATACTGCAACTGTCCCTGGTCGACGCGACGGTTGTGGGCGCTGTCCCAGGCTTTGGCGTGAGCATCGGCAACGGCAGAGTGATGTTTGGTGTTGGCAGCGGGAGTCCGAGCGGGGATGTTAACCCGACCCTCGTCAGCGCCGACTCGCACGCAGACGGCAACTGGCACAGCGTCCTCGCCACCCGCAAGATGTTGGGCTTCGAGTGGTACGATTCAAACACAGCCGCCAAGGTATGCTGCCCCACATACGATCAGGTCATGGCCACACCATCGGACGAACGCTGGGTCGAATGGGACGATTCAACCTGCTCCAGCGGGTGCAAGTGTAGCTCGTGGGGCCTGTGTTAGCCAATCCCCGGTTTTCTTTCTTTCTGTTGTCTCTCGGTTTTCTGCTACGATTCCTCCTCTATTCAGGCGAGCCGCATCCTTCCACTGGCGGGTCTTTCGTCCTCGTTATGGTTTGAGAATTGAGGTCGAAGCGGTGTCCGACGTCGTAGTAATGCATCTCTTGTCCGAATATCGCGTGTACGTGGTCTCGAGTTGCTGCACTTAAAGGTGAGGTGGTGAGGGGCGGTCGGGCCCCTCGTCTTGTTGTCTGTCTTGTTGTCTGTTGTCCCCTCGCGTCTCGATGTCTGGTCGTGTCCGTCTCTGAGCTTTTGTGTGACTTGTGCTTCTGCCACCATAATAGCATCCGGTCACATACAGCTCGAGCCCTACTTCCCTCCCTTCTCTACCATTGTTGGGCTGTTGCTGCATGGCTGGATTCAGTCTGGGGATGGTATGGTACGTGTACCCGGCTATGTCGACCGACCGTGGGGCGGCAGGCGACAGGGCTAGGCCAGTCGTCCCATGTGGGTGAGGGGGGCGCGCAAGGTATCTCTCTAAGTCGAGGAGTGTCTCTGGCTGTCTTGCAGAGGGAGGTGGAGCGAGCAGTGGATTCAGTGCTGTGTGGGTATGGGCGCACCGCTCGGCGAGGGCCTCATCGGGGGTCCGCCTGAGAGCGAGAGGCGTGGCAAGCGGGAGGAGGGCAGGGCTCTCCTCGGGCCTGCCGCCGTAGCAGTAGTCTGGCAAGTCTGCACAGGGAGGTGAGTCGAGCAGTGGATTCCGTGCTGGGAAGGTATGGGCGCGCTTCTCGCTTAGAGCTGCGCGGGGGGGGCCGCCCATCTGCGGAGGCCTGTCCGCGGAAGAGTGGGTGGTTAGTATTGCGGGGAGCATCATATGGGCGAGCCTTTCGGCCGATGATATTAAATGATATTATGTGGACGAGTATGGTTGGTGGCCCGAAGGGCGATTCATTTGCCCGAAGGGCGTCACCCTGCCCGTTTGCTCGTGGCGTTTGGCCAGCGAGCTCGCGGGACAGAGGGGGTGTGAGGTGTGTGTGTGTCCCATGCAGGCAGGCAGGCAGGCCGGCCGGCAGGCAGGCAGGCAGGCAGGGCTGGCAGGCAGGCTGGCAGCAGCTGCTGGCAGGCAGCAGGGCAGGCTCTCCGCTCGTCGGCTGCGGGCAGAGCCTGCGCGCGATGGTCGTGCGAGTCGCGCGGCCGCGAAGGTGCCGCGCGCGCGTGTGCCTCGGCTCGCCCGCCTCGTGCTGCTAGCATTGCCAGCAGCAGGCAAAAGGGCGCTGCAGATGTTGTGGAGGTGTTGCGGCGCCCGGCACCCCGGCTGCGCTCCGCGCGCGGCTGTGCGGCCGCCCGTGGGCTGCGCGCAGGCGGCGCCGCCGGTCGTCGCAGCGCGCCGGCCGCACTGGGCCGCAGCCGCAGGCCGGCGCCATTGGCGCCAGCCTTTGGCGCTGTTGGCCTATGTTGCACGCCGCGGAGGGACGTACGTGCAAACTTTTTGATGCGCGCGCCGACCGCGCCTTCCGGCGGGTCGGGCGCGCTGCGAGCGAGCGCTGGTAGGCGCTGGGTGGCGCGGGGGGCGGCGGGATTCCCCGCCATTCGGGCAAATCTGTGTCTCAACGCTGCTGCGAAAAGAAAACCTGCAATCGGCGCGATGGGCCTTATTTGGGCGCCGACGCTCGGGGTCGTCTGGCAACGGCACCGGGAGCTCGAGACGCAGCTCTCGGGGCCAGCCAACCCAGGAGTCAAATAAATAAATAAAACGGACACCTCTACTAGGAGATGGGTAAAAAGGAACAGGTCCCCAGGAGTCGATTTTAGGACCAATCTAACCTGGTTTTGTGGAGCTCCCGCAGATTACCTAGAGAGCACGGCATTCGGGGCCATGATGTCGGTTCCCCACCGGATTTTTTTTGTAGTGGAGAGAATTAAGGAATCTTTCTGCTCTGGCAGGCAGCTGCATCATTCCCCTTTACTTCAATCAGCTGTGTACATTCAAGTGCTATTACTGTCGAGCTCTGTCTGTATAGCTGTCTAGACGCTCCGATTTTGCTGTCTGGACGCTGTCTGGACGCTGTCTGGACGCTGTCTGGACGTTGTCTGGACGCTGTCTGGACGCTGTCTGGACGTGGAAGATCGTCTGAGGTGTGAATAGATAGACCTGCTGCGCACAGGCCGCCGGAAGGCACAGGCGGCTGGCGCGTCAGCTGCACAGGTGCGAGCGCCGCCCGCCTCGCCGATCGCCCCGCCTTTGCAGGCTGCTTTGCCGGCGCGCCTCCAGGCGGCACCCGCCCGAGCCAATCCACCTCGGCCGCGATCACAGCCTGCTCGGCCGCCTGGTCCGCGAGGCAAGCGCCCGCCAGACTGCGACGAGGCCGCCGCGCGCACCAGCGACGCAAAGATTCGCTGCCACAGCTGCTGCTGTTGCTTGGGCGGCGAGAAGCGCCGTCTTTGCGGCGTCTGTCGCGGCGGAGGGAGGGCGGTTCGGCGGCGATGGGAAAGGACGGCGTGGCAGCGCCGCAAGCGCGTTCGGTCACGCGCGCCCCGAGGCCGCCGTCTTCGGTGCAGCGTTCATGTCTGACTGAACTGCTGGGCTCGCGCTTTGCCCATTGCGCAGCGGTGGGTCGACGTGGCTACTGCCGGCCCGCGGCTTCTTCATCGGCTGCGGCGCGGGGCTCATGGCTGCAGTATGGCACCTGACCAATGCGTGCCCACGCTTGCTCTGCCCTTATCCGCAGCATCGTTGCGACGTTGGCGTTGCCCACTTTGCTAACCCGTCTGTGAAGAGCGCCTGTCTAGACAGCTGTCTAGACAAAGCTACAAGTTCAAAACTTCAAGTTCTCAAGTTCTGTTGAGTTCTGTTGTCTAGACGCACCGCCCCCCCCCCCCCCCCGGAACGGCAAGTTCGCAAGTAGGGCGGCAAGCGGTATGTGTGGGTGGGTGGGTGGGTGGGTGGGTGGGGAATGGCCTCAGCAGCGCCAGGGGTGCTGTCAGTGTCGTCCAGCCACGACTACGAGACTTGACTGTGAAGAGTGGAGCCATGTGCCACTGTCTGGACGTTGTCTGGACGTTGTCTGGACGCTGTCTGGACACTGTCTGGACGCTGTCTGGACGCTGTCTGGACGCTGTCTGGACAGGCTCAGGACTGTCTAGACATCTGCGGGAGCTCCACAAACCAGGTTATCTCAACTCTAACACTCACACGTCATTTGGGGCCTGGAGCCCTGTTCACGCGCGCGCGAGACGTGCAGACAGGGTTGCCAGGTGAGAGCGAATGGCGCGGTTCACGCCTCGCACAACAGAGAGAGAGATAATAACAATCTATATCAGCATGAACAACGGGGACTCGGACGCGATGGATAAGGAACGACTCAACAGGGCCCTAAAACGGGGGAGCGACCGGCCTACGGGCCCGTCGCGGCACGGCGCACGCGGCTCGCGCTTCGGCCTTCGCGGGCCGCGGCGCGGGCCGCGCCGCGCGGGCCGCGGCGCACGGGGATCGGGGTGTCTTTTCTTTATTGGTTGCGAAACCCCCCGCGCCCAGACACTTCCGAGGCCAGAACTCTCGTTGTAGGGGATCTAGCCGTATAGAGGCGCGCGCTCCTCCTCACACAGTACAGTCTCTCCGACACTCCACCCCCCGCTCCCAGAGTCACAACATCCATGTGCACATCTAGGCGCGAGAAAATCGACGTTCTAGACAGTCTCGCGTCGCGT